CTGTATTAATGCGCTACTCGTGTCGTAAAAATTGTTCAAAAACCACTTGTTAACAGTGATTCTTCTTGATTTATCATTATGTTTTACTTTACGAATATTTTTAATCTTTGAGAAAAATGATTGATTTCAATCGAAATGGTGCTTTCTAATAATTGGAAGCGCATTCAAGCCATCTGTATATCAGCTACAGCTACATCGACTGTTTTTGGTCACATTTCAAGTTTCACTATTTATTAAAGATAGTGTGGCACAATAAAATCAACATTTTTTTAAAGCAGTAATTGATCTGTTCAAGACAAACAATATTAATTTAATAGCAAAATTTACGAAAAAAATCGGAGAAAATCATCAAATAATTTGAGCGTCGGTTAATTACTGGTTTCGATGAAAAATTAACGACATTTGTATTTTGTACCTGTCTGTTATCTGTTTGAAATTTTCTTTAGTCTCAACCGTACAGCATTGTCTATATCCAACATGATCTGTCTGTTGACGAAACAGTTTCGTGTCAATGAGGAATTAGCAAAAATTAGATAAAAAAACTTTGAGAAATATGGTTGTACTTCGAAGTCACCGTGAAATTCCGATCCTTGTACTGAATTCTCAAAGCAGTGATGAAGATCTCAGGACCACGACGCAGCCTATAGAATTGACTTCGAACAACTTCAGACAATAGAACAATTTGCATAGGATAAGAGCTGATAGCTTCAAATAGCATGGTAATCATTGTGAGTCCGAAGGAAATGACGGGAATATATTTTGATTTAAATAGGAAAATGCAATATATCTCGGTAAAAAGCTGTCAGTCCACTGATCAGTGTATCTGCATCAGGGTGAACAGCGCTAGATACTGCGTAACTGTGTCGCAAGGAGGTTAACAAGAGTATGAGTGTAGGTGTGACGAGAAGATTGATGCCTATGCTACACCAACATCCTAGCTGCAAGTGTGTGATGTCTGTAGGTCCACATGTCTATGCTATGGGTGCTTCTGCGATATGTGGGTTGTTCAGAGGATTAGTTCAGTTTATTGTTCTCATCCCATCATCCCATATATGTCCTCAGCTGACAGTTGCACACTCTTATAGTTCATACAATACAGAAATAAATATTACCCTTTTTACTCCACGCGAAATAAAGCTTTTTGCATCACTATGAATTTGTTCCTTGGTAGCACGCACTCGTCATGTGCTTACTAGCTTGAATATTTTACTTTTGATAAACGCAATCGCCCTCAACATTTTTCTTAGTTGAAGATATCTATATAAAACAATAAAAGAGAAAAGAAGATAGATAAGAAAAGCAAACGTACACTGTAGTAAATTATCACTTAGGACAGTTTAAAAAGGAAAACTACATATTTTAAAACTGAAATGTATAGCACTAATATGGTCCTAATAATGGAAACGATCAAAACCAATATGAAAATTTATCTTGGCATATTAGCTTTTTTTTTATTATAGTACACATGATCTATTATTTTTCGATGAAAATGAAATAGAACCATCACCATAAACGTACCAAAAAATTGATCATAAAGAAATCCAAAACTACTAACATTATCGTAGAGTGTCGATATGTACAACAGTGAATGTGAAAGGTGCAAAAATTATAGCATTTCCCAAGAGTATGATTAGAACGCTCTTGAACTCACATGAATTAACAGAAGTGAGCCAAACAAACCTATAGTTACCTATTAACAGATTGCGGCAACGCGGAGTAGCTCGGGTTAAATTGCTATGCGTAAACGGCATAGCAGAACTCACCAGCCTATTCATCAATCTCAGATAATGACAGACTACAGTTTCTTGGCACATATGTAGGCTCAGATCTTTGCGAAATAGCTGCCCAATAAACGTCAGTTCTAGAGGCTGACGATCCTGACATTCTGTCTCATGAGCAATGCTTATGATTGTCAGCAAAGAGTACCAAGTCATGCATTAGTGAGCATGGAATTCTGTAAGTTAACCAACAATCTTTGAGAATAACAACCAGAAAAACAACTTTGAATAGGCAACAGCAGGTGGGTGTAGCTGTTAACAGAAAAATGGTATCTATACCCACACACAAAATTTCTCACTTATGAATTAGAAAGAACTTTCGAGACGATGTCATTCGATGAAGAAATCAATTTGCTATTGAATGATGATATTTTTACATACCAGCAATTAATATTTGTCGTGAGTAAGAAAAAAGAATTTACCTGTACATTATGAAAGAGAGTCCTGGTAGAATGCTTACGACAAAATTTTGTCACTTATGAAGCAGAAAGAAACTTCGAGAGGGTGTCATTCGATGAAGAATTCAATTTGCGATCGAATGATGATATTTTTACATGCCGGCAATAAATATTTATCGTGAGTGAGAAAAAAGAATCTACCTGTACAGTATGACAGATGGTCCTTCTAAAATGTTTATGACAAAATTTTGTCACCTACGAATCAGAAAGAAACTTCGAGACGATGTCATTTGATATAGAATTCAATTTGTTGTAGAATGATAATATTTTTACATACCTGTAATGAAAATTTCTGGTGAGTGAGAAAAGAAGTCTATCTGTGCAGTATAGATGATGGTCCTCCTAGAATGTTTGCCAAAAAATTCTCGTACACGTGAGTAGGTAGAAACTTGGAGAGGATCTCATTCAATTTGCTATTGAATGATGATACTTCCATACATCGTAAATGTATGGTTCTCACCAGGCAGTCAAAGATATTTTGTCTGTGGAATATAATCTGATGATGACTGATGTTGTCTCAGAATTTTGCTGATAAATGAATGGTAATAGTCAGGGTGGTTTTTTTTTACGTAGTTTTATATTCTGGTTTTGGTAACATTGGTTCCTTCACATAGGGTCTTTTTATGCTTCTTGTTCTGAGAATAGTTCAGGTTTATGCCGACATCTACTTCTGAGATGTTTTGAATGACTAATACATTAGACGAAACGCATTACTCAAAGAATTGATATTCACTCTACCGAAAGCAAAACTGAATGAAATAAAATAAATTTTCTGCTAGTATGTGCCCTTGTTGATTTCGAAACTTTAGATAGCGTCTAAACGTATGAAAATGAAGAAAGTGATAGCGAATAGTGCGAATTTTTCCAATTTTATGAAAAAAATTATGAAATATGTGTCTGTTTTCTAGATATCAGGAGGTGGTTTTGGCTATTTATGAATTAAATGCAAAGGATAGAAATGAATATGCTACTCAAATCAGTTCTATTTCATAATTATAAGAAAACCTTGCTAATTTGTACCCGTTCTCTCTGTTATTCGAACAGACGCCGGTGCCATTTGTTGTGCATAGATAGCTCTTAGTATGCCTTCAAAAATTACAAAGGCACGCAGATTGGGAATGCTTAGACAACATCTTTCAAATTTCCAGGAGATTGAAGTGCTTCGGACCTTCAAATACTATATGTTTGGTATAGAAATACCATTGTGATTTTATTAAGAAGTGCTGCCCGTTTCAAATCTCTGTATCATTGACGCTTTTTAAGGCACAGTAAAAGCCATCTATGTACAAAGAATAATATATTATTCTTATCATTAAACCATATTTTTAACTTTGTATATTTTTTCGGGTGTTCTGATGAACGGCTTTTCTGTACGCGCACAATATTTGACTAGTACGTTTAATGGAAAACATCACGAAAAAGATTTATATTCGCTGTATAGGACGTAGATATGAACGAAATATAACAAAGTTTTTCTATTGGTTTGTATTCTTGCCTGTGTTCATTCACAAGTCGGAATGTATACGGATACATTCAAATTATCTGTCTAGCCTGACAGCTGCTTTGAGTAAGAGCTTCTTTGAAGTATGGTATTCCGACTACAGATCAGATCTAATATGATTTATTTTATGCTAGAAGTTCAGCTAATCTTCTATTTTTGTCGCGGATGCTCTAGTAAGCATATGGATTTTTGAGTCTATGGGCTTTTTTATTTCAAACTGAATTCCAAAATCAAAAAAACCACACCAATTTCTTCCGAATCAAACTTTTCTCGCTTGATACTACGTAGTTTCACTAAAAACGCTTAGTCCCCCCTAGTCCTGCAAAGTCCCCCTTAGTCCCCCCCACAAAAAGCTTAGTCTCCGCTTAGTCCCCTGTGCAGGGGACTAAAGCCTATAGTACACAAAACCACAAGCACACCCTCACCCTCACTCGCGCGCCCACACCCGCACCATGGGTGTGGGTGTGTGTGTGGGTCCCAGACCAACACCCACACCCTCAGTCACCCCCCTCTCTCACTCCTAGACTCGCGTTTCAGGTTGAAATCAAGTATTATTTTTATTTGATAAATTCAGACTGAAATTAAATAGCCCATAGTATGCAATTTGATTAGATTAATTTATGACAAAAATCATCGCACGCACCCGCATGCCATTGTGCACAACAAGATTATCGCTAATACCAACGTACACACACAACTAGCCCCCTTTTGAAGCGTTGGATACTAGCTTTGTTGAAGATTGTAAAGCAGTATATTACACCAAAAAGTCTAATATACAGTCGAAGGTCAAGCGAGCGACAAAAATGAAATCAGACAACTGAATACATAGAGAAGACACACATTCTTCTGTTGTGTGCTGTCCAACAATTAGTGGCACATCTTTTTGTGGAAATTTATGACCGAATAATCCGTCTCAAGTCAAAATTTTGCTGTTATGTCCACAAAATAGAATGTTCACTGAACATTTGGCAACTGTTCCAACAAATTGATCCATTGACAGTGCCTGCTAACCCTAGTGACCATAAAGTGGCTAATTTGGCTTTATTTTTCGTTCAACATTTTCAAAATAAAACGGCATGGTCACTTATCGAAAGTTAATCGAAGGCAACTGTATCGATGACTAGTTGCTGTGATAAACGCAGCACTTCAAGCGAATCTTTTATAATGCAGAATTCTTTGATTTTATTGTAAAAAAATAGTTGTATCTATATGTATTGACTTTTAGATTTTGTGTCTCCTAACTCCATCGATCAATAGACAACAATGACACTTGAAGAGCAAATACAAGAGGTACGAGACAAGTAGTAGGTAATCTGTCTTTGCAAATGAAGTTGTACCAAAACATGACCACTTTCTCAAGATATCGAAGAGGATCGTTTCAACTTCTCTGCAAAAGATATTTGCAGATGTTGCGCTCGAACAACGATTAAAATTGATCCATGAACATTTTGTCTTTCATAGGTCAGCACTGACATCGACGAAGCCAAACGCCTGATCGACCAAACCACTCGTCCTCGCATAAAGCAAAATTTAGAGCTTCAACAGCGCAAATTCGAAAAGGAATTAATCCAACTTCAAGAGAAGCTACAGAAACAACAACAACAGCAGCTATTACAACAACAACAGGCTGCTGCTCAAGCAGAAGAAAAGACAGCAAGTGCCAGCGCCTTGCCAACCGCTACTCGATCATATACAAAGGATATATCAGTCTATGGTAGGACAACAGTACCACCACAATTTCTATCTATATTCTACTATTGGTTACAGCATGGGATCAAAATGATAAATTTATCAAGGTCTACGTTCAAAATCTGGACGGTGTCGGCAACTTACCCGAAAACCAGATTCAATGCTCGTTCGAAAAACGGTAAGAATTAATGATCAGATCTTTCTCCGATTTCTCATTATTTAACATCGCAACATCGTAGTGGCTTTCATTTACAAATTCAAAATCTAAAAAATATCAACTATTCCTTGAAAAGAGCCCATCTTCTGCATGATATTCAACCAGATCAATCGACTTTCAAAGTCCGTCTTTTTGATATCGAATTGTTGTCTGATTTTCTTGTAAATTTCTCGTGTATCTAGGTCAAAAAGGATATGGTCATTCTGTCGTTACGAAAAGTCGAGTCGAAAAATTGGGAATGCTTTTTACAGGACGAGAAGAAAGCACCTATCAAGTAAGTGAAGTCTTCTTATGCCTAAGAAACTTGTTCTCTTTTCTGATGTAGACCGTTGCCAAAACTTGATAAGTCAAAGGATTCGAGTGAAGCCCTTATGAATATGGTGGAGGAAATGTACGAAAATGGCGACGATGATACGAAACGAGCTATTGCCAAAGCGTGGGTCGAATCGCGCGAGAAGATAAATTCCGGCGCCGCCGAACCGCGTGATAGGATGAGACCTGGCATTGTCGAAACGCCTGACTTTACAATTTATCCTCCTTAACAGAACTATTTACGAAAAGACATTCTAATCTGGATTTTATGATATTTTTCTACTAGAGTGATCATTATCAGAATAATCACACATTGATCAGTTTTGCTTTTCTTTTTAGATTAGCGATTTTCTTTAGACATTTAAACGAATCTATGTCTTTGAAAGACAGTGCTTGATCACCGCTGATTATACTCGTCCTCAATCCAACGTAAGTATCATAAGTGACACTTTGACAAAAATTTGTTCTGCAGAATTCAATTCAGTATTGTTAGCTATCGAATGGCTGATTTACAATGAATCTCTAGATATTTCGACCATCACCATTATGCTACTCAACCTTTCGAGAGCATCATTGTACGAATAGATCTGCCGTTAAGACCTCTACGAAAATTTGAGACGACTTGTTTTTATTAAATTGTAACGAGATAAAATTGGATGCAAAAAAATATTCCAGACTTAGAAATGCACAAGCTTTCTAAACTTGTGAACAACTTTGCTCACGTACTTATGGATATGATTTACATGAATGAATAGGCAGAAAACAGAAATTAAATCGAATCAATGTTTTTCTTTTTTTTAGTTACGTTCGATTTTAATGAGCAAAACACTTGGAAAAATGAAGGTTCGTACCAATCGCAGCCGAATATCTAGCAACGCTCATATAACTGGTTCAGAAAATAACAATCTGATCATGTTGAATAATCTTGAATGATTTTAGTAGTATATTCATATTTAAAAAATTCACATTTAGTTCACTCTCTATTTAAGAATATTCTTCAAAACAAACTAATACTCATAATTTCGGCGAAAGCTGTATAAAAAAACGGAAAAATATTCATAGTAAGCTTCTGCAAGTGCAGAAATGCTTAACGCTATCCATTTTCCTTGGTTTCTCGTTGATGTGAACGTCATTTATGGATGATCTGTAAGCATCATTCGGTTTAATGCTTGTTCTTTATAAATTTTTATATCGGCATATTGATCAATATTACTTATTTATATTGTAATAATGCATCTCAATCAGCATTATCATTACGATCAATAAAAAAAAACATAATTTTGAAGATCAACAGAAAGTGATCGAAGAGATTTTGATGTACAATAATCATTTATTCAACGAACTATTATTGTCATTTTTATTTTGTTTCGAAAAATAAGACAAAAGTTATATGAACCACAATACTAATAATAATCAATTTCATCAATTTGTATAACATCTTCATCGTTATCCGATTCATCTTTAACTTGTATACTATGTGCATTTGTACCTTATCAAAAAACAACTATCATTAATCAAATATTTTTAAAGAGCTTTTTTTTCTAAATAAATAAATCGATTGAATATAACATATGAAGAGAAAGAGTATGGATGTCAGTAAAGAGGAGATAAACACCTACATCTACACATTCATCACATCTACGTTCGTAAAAACTTGTCTCTTCGTTTTGAAAATCTCTTTCCCTCGATCATCTCAAGTATGTATTAGTGACTGATGTAAAAATAGAATGGATGTAAACAAAAAGAACCATTAAGAATGACAATTTGATTCAATACGAGTTATAAATAGTGTCTATTAAAAATATTTGTGCATGTGCCATGAGTAGCAGATGTGCCTTTATCCTCATCGTTTGCTGTACGTTTCAAAATTCATTCTTTGTTATCTAGTAGACAGAAACATCAACACGATGTTGTTCTCTCATCTGACTGTTGTACTGCTCATCGTGAGTGTTAGTTATATCGCAAATATCATCAGTGCTCAACAATTACTAGGCAGTTGGTAAAATAGTAATGATGTCCAATTAAAAAATGCGACACTGACACTAGCTAGAGCACAACTGGCATCGACCAGTAATCATATCTCTCTGCCAATTTGAATCATAAGTTTCTACACACAAATCGTAGCCGGCATTAATATTCGACTTATATTCACCGTTTGAAACAATGTCGATGCACTCTCATCGCTTTTCAGCCGCTACCGTACACTCAACAACCAATGCAAGTGACATCATTCTTCTATGAGAGAGTAACCATCGAAAGTACTATTTCTTCTTCGAACAACAACGAGCACGACGAAAACAGCGGACTCACAAATTTGTCTGAATCAGCGCCAAATGAATCTTGCTAAGACAACTTCATTATAGTCTGGGTTTTGGAATAAATAGTTTTTTCTTTCCTTTATGCGTATGAAACGTTGCAGTGTATCCAACACTTAATCAGAATATAAAAAATGATTTTGGTCTATTCGATCAAGAAAAAAGAGGATCTAAATTGGTTGATAAGAAATTAAATCGAGCGAGATCCTAACCGATGCGTTGAACTCATTTGACTGATACAGACTGTATTCCGAATTTCTTTCATCGCGTAACATCAATTGATTTTTTTATGCAGTAATAACTGGTAGCAAAACTATATTTGTTTTCGTATAGGCCATACTTTACTTCTCATAACATCGTCTTACAAGTAGTTTCAATGACGACTGTCCAATAATATTTTTGCTTATACATACCTTTTTGAGCCACTTTACTTCGTAGTCTGCTTCTGTATTTGATTCTAAAAATCAAAATAGTTGTATATTTTCTTCTCACGGCATATTTTGCTGTTCAAGTCAACAATGAAATAGTATTTTTACTTTGAGACTTTTCGTTGTAAGTGTGAGCATTACAAGAAGATATTGATTGTAAAATCAGTCCATCGTTAAAAGCAAGTAATCATAACTCTAATTTACTATCTTCCAGGAAAGGTACAAGAATCTACTTTCATGAACTAATTGTTTTCATTGTGTTTTTGACTGTTGGCACAGGTGACTGTCAATAGTGAATCACTGGGTATGGATGTAGATATTGAATGTATGTTTTCGTTTAACGCACATCTATCCCAACACACCATAGTTAACAAAGAAATCGTTAGAATAAAGAAAATAAAATTTGATTTCATTGCTGTTCTGTAAAAATCTTCAAATATCATAGATTCATTGATAACAAACGTTATGGTTCGAATCGAATGTTTTCATCACGTTCTCTCCTTGGATGTCTCCGTTCGAAGATTATTTTTCTAAAGAGTCTATTTGCTTAAATACACTGTCTTTTCTACTAGAAAGGTAATATAATTTTAAAATAGTAATAACAAATTTTATTGTATATGGTGTAATTCATGTTGATATTAATCTTGCTATTTTTAACCATATTCGATAAATCATCGAAGCATTTTTATTTATTTTCTTTCCATGCTATTTCTTGTTATATAGAAATATATCCATCAATCTGACTATCGAACCAGATAATATGGGCAGGAAGATACGCCTTTCTTTTACTGACACAGTTCATTAACTATTCAAATATGTATGTGAGAAGGATATGTATTGTTTTTTTTCTGTCAATGTTTTTAAAGAAATGTGTTTTTGAAATAATTCTCTGCGAATATTTATTCGAAAAATTGAATGTATGGAAATTCTTCATCTCTCGGGGTGACTCTCAATGTTCTTCGATTTTAAATTGACAAAAATAGTATTTTAAATAAATTTTCAGAATTTATTCTTATATTCTATCTATCATTCACACAATCACTACACAATATCGGATTCAATCATTGAAAATCGACAAAAGTATATGGAAGTCAATATCATATGATTATATAATTTCATCGTTAGAAAATCACTTTAGCCGATTTACTAAAAACTAAATGATATTATTCAGACAGATGTTGAAAAAGTATCAGAGTAAAATGTCAAATAATGAATTTAATGTGAGAGATGAAAAATCCTCTTTTTTAAACCGATTCTCCTTTAATTCAAATGAATAATTTAAATCCGCTACACAAGAGTCTTCTTTTGAGTTGTTTTTTTTTCGTCACAGTTTTTCACTAGTTATTCTTGTTCAAATATCAATCACTTTAATGTTATTTTTGTGTTCCAATTTCAACGGGGACATTTCGGTTCGACGAATTTCGTTTTTTTGTCATTGGTGAAATTTTCTGTAAGAACTAGTAAGAAGTTTTTCAATATTTTTGTATTTAACAAATGACAATAAAATACATATAATAGCATAATGAAAATGTGTATCGCCACAAAGCATACTCTTGATTTTGAAGATTCTATAACGTCTGTTTTGTATTAGAATAATGGACCTAAAGAAAACATGAAAGTTCTAAATTTAATCTCTAATAGGGCTGCGCGAACAAGCTTTTTTATAGTAGTTTATATCAAGAAGAAATTTGTTCGAAACAAAAGGGCAAAATAATTGACCGAAAGTGTTTATGCACTTGTTGATGTTGTTGAACATAAATGAACGCAATGACAGCAAATAGCAATTAAAATCAACAATATAAAAACAAACAAGTCAAGCTCCATTTGTTAAGAAATATTGATAAATTTTTATTATATATCTATCCGATTGATCTGTCTCTGAAAACTGAACATTCTTCTACAAAGGATTGAGAAATTTTTTCATTTGGTTTTTAAATTGAAACCATTCAACAATATATTTAATGCGATCAAATAAAATAGAAGTTTCATTCCAAACATGATTAAATGTGATTTCATTAATACATTCTTGTGACATACAACTATATGTTAGTTGCTCATATTCTCATGCTTCAAAATCGATGTTTTGTATTTTAATGTAGAATCACTTTGTTATCATTGATTAATTAACATTACAATCTGTACTAAAACTGGTACGATTCAAAATTGCATTATAATCAGCAATACATCTTCCACTGGAGCATTCTGTCAACTTTCTTGATATAAAGCATCGACCTGATTGAACACCCAATGTTGTAAGATTAATGAATTTGTCCTTCAATGGTTCATAATTAATATTAGCTATCCAATGGATCCATGTGTTGACAAATATTTTATCACATAAATCAGCCGACGAACATATATAATCAATTGAACTAATGATAGAATCGTTATATTTAGACAATGGAAACCATGTCTCAATACTAAAGTAGATAACAGTACGAATTGTATTCTCACCAAATTTGATTGTTACAAATTTATTTATTTCAT